ATAGAGGGATGCAACCACCTCACTTTTCACCTTCCAGGACCCAACTTCCCCATAGAACTCAATAGAGCCCCTTTGGAACCTCATAGGGGGATGCAACCACTGCCGATTTCCCCTTCCAGGACCCAGATTCCCTATAGAACTCAATAGAGCTCCATTAGAACCTCATGGAGGGATGGAACCACCTCACTTTTCACCTTCCAGGACCCAACCTCCATATAGAACTCCATAGAGCCCCAACAGAACAAGATAAAGGGATGCAACCACTGCCGATTTCCCCTTCCAGGACCCAAATTCCCTATAAATCTCAATAACTCCGCAACCAAACAAGCTAGAGAGATGCAACCACTTCCAATTTCCCCTTCCAAGACCCAGCCTTCATTAAAAACACCCTAATTAACCCACGGAACACCAAAAAACCCCTCAAATCAGCCCCGATTTCCCCTTCCAGGACCCAACCTCCATATAGATCAATGTAGAACCTCAACAGAACAAGATAGAGGGATGGAACCACCTCACTTTTCACCTTCCAGGACCCAAATTACCCATAGAATTCAATAGAGCCTCAATGGAACCTCATAGGGGGATGCAACCACTTCCAATTTCCCCTTCCAGGACCCAACCTCCATGTAGATCAATGTAAAACCTCAACAGAACAAGATAGAGAGATGCAACCACTGCCGATTTCCCCTTCCAGGACCCAAATTCCCTATGAATCTCAATAGAGCTTCAATGGAGCCTCATAGGGGGATGCAACCACTGCCGATTTCCCCTTCCAGGACCCAACTTCCCCATAGAACTCAATAGAGCCCCATTAGAACCTCATGGAGGGATGGAACCACCTCACTTTTCACCTTCCAGGACCCAAATTCCCTATAAATCTCAATAACTCCGCAACCAAACAAGCTAGAGAGATGCAACCACTTCCAATTTCCCCTTCCAGGACCCAACTTTCATTAAAAACACCCCAATTAACCCACGGAACACCGAAAAACCCCCCGAATCAGCACCGATTTCCCCTTCCAGGACCCAACCTCCATATAGATCAATGTAGAACCTCAACAGAACAAGATAGAGGGA